AGAAAATACATTCAATTCATAAAATTATTTTAAAACTCATATTTTGAGAATTAAAAACGGAATAAATTTTAAGAATCTAGTCATTATTTATCAAGATTTCTTTCCCCAAGATTTTAAAGGTCCTATGAAATTAAAATAAAGTTTATTTTAGATGTTAGTATCAGTATTGTTTGTTTTTAAGACATCTACAAGCTAGTGCGCTCTAAAACAGTGACAAAAATAATGTTTAGAAGATATAAAACTGATATCAACATCTGAAGCTTTGTTTCTTCCGCCTGGATCAACGGTTTTATTCACGTCAGCCCATACTACAGTTTTTCATCAACTCCTAACCAATCAAATGCTCTCTAGTATCTGACATGCCCCGCCCCCTTCAGGATATTTCTCATTTGCTTTTCATGTGATGCTCTTGAGCTCTAATTAGGCCTGTTTCTCAATATGCGTTCTTGTCTGTATTTGCGTTCTTGTGTCCTCGTGAAACGTCCTCATCAACCGTCGCCAATATACTGTTTTAATTCAAAGTTCACATCTTGCCAAGTAAAGATAAAATTCCCGGATGTGTACTTGCTCTGCCCCTTTGGCCAAGGATGCATCGAGAGGTGACTTGTGCGAACTTGCGAAGCTCAGGGATCCCAGAATTCATTGCAGCTAAACCAGCAAACGCTATCGGTGGAGGAACCCGCATGGTTTTAAAAATACTCTTTTACTGTGTCACAAAATAAAGTTTTAACAATTTTCAGGCGAGAATGTGGTTGTTTTAAATTCGAATCGGCAGTTTATTCACAAAGATATCGCGTCTTTGACAATGTGCCTCAGCTTATGCAGACTTCGACTCCCAGCCTGCCAGCGGGAGCTCTGTCATCACCTCCCCCGCTGAGAGTAGCTTTACTTCGGCCAGTCCATCTCGGATGTACCGCTGGATCTCATCACTCCATTTTAGTTAAAACATGATATTTAATTCATCTTGTGAATATCTAATGTCAGTTTTTGGTCTTTTAAATCTATTATTTGTTTTCAGGTGTATTGTTTTGCCAGTATTATTTTTTTACCTTTTAAAATTGACTTTAATTATGTTACCGTGTTGTACACTGTTTGTTTTTATTTACCAAATTGTTTGACGTAATCTTTAATTCTTATCCTGTACGTCTCTATTTCTTATTGTGTATATACTTGTATAATTACCATTTTAGTTTATCAAATCTGATAATCAAATACACGTGTCTGTGTATAATAACTCATTTTAATTCACATTTATATGAATATATATGTGTACATTTAGTCCCACTTTATATTAAGTGGCCTTAACTAATATGTACTTACACAGGAATTAATAGTTTGTTACAATGTTACTTGTTGTAATGTTATTGTGTAAATACATGTATTTATTGTGTATTTATGCTTGATTAAATACCTATATGTAATTACATCTGTAATTAACTTCTGTAAATACATTTGTAAATACACTGATGACCATTCCCTACACCTTAACCCACCCTTAAACCTACCCACACCACCAAACCTGTCCATAACCCAACCTCTATCCCAACTCAAGAGCACCACAAGTGTTCTCAAATACATTATGAACACAGTAAGTACATTGTATTTAATTTTTATGCAAGTACATAGTAGTTAAGGACACTTAATATAAAGTGGGACCGTACATTTTCTTAAATCAAAATTTTTGATTTTTAATATAATATAATATTAACTACAGGGTCGTGCTTTATATAATTAAATCATGGTGATGTAAGTGACATTATAAAGTACACTGCCGTTCCATTCGAAGAAGTACCCAACTTGTGTCCTTGGAAGTTCAGACTTGCAAAATTCAGACTTGAAAGAACAAACTCCCGAGGACGCAAGTCCGAACTTTGCGTACTTGATATTGAGAAACAGCCTAGCAGAGCGGTGATTGGCTGTTTTAAAAAAGGAGGAGGAACTACACTATGTCCCACCTTCTCTTTGTTTTTTCCATTGAGATTACATCGAACATCGAATTAAAACGCACATTTCAAAGCACTTCATGGGACCTTAAAAATACATCTAGCAACTAGAAGCTTGCATTCAATACACTCATCTAGATCGTAGATTGAGGTAGTAAAAATTGGATCTAAATTTATAAAAGTGGTTATCAATACATTTTCTAAAAGCACACTGTACAACAGTTTGTTTGTTTTTTTGTATTCTGTGATTCATGTTTTTATTTTATTTTCCCTGATTTATTCATGCTTTTAAACTGCAATATGGGACATAGATCTTTCTTCCAGTAACTTTTAACCTTGAAAAGTTTGAAAAAAATTACTTTTATTACAATTTAATTAGTTTAAAATGATTTATTGTTTGAGTTGGTGTTGTATATTACACTACAAAAACGTTGTAATAAACTGGCAGTACATTTACTGTAATTTTACACACTTAAATATTACAATAAAATAGTACATTATATTATTTCAAACAGAAAAAATGTCAACAAAAGTCACTTTGTTAAACTGAAGAGTTGATTTTTCAGCATCAATAGGCGACAGAGCAGAGATTAACATCCCATAATGCAATTCACAACCATTAATAAACAAAAAACACTTGTGAATCACAAAATATGGAAACTGTTCATTAATAGCCGGCAGCTAGCTCTCTGCAGTTCTCACATGCAGCAAAAGAAGAATGAGTAATAGAAAGACAAATTACCTGTGAGAGACAGTGCTGTCAGTAAGGTCAAAAGTGTGAGCAGACGCAGGTGAAACTTTTCAGAAAGCATGGTTTCTGCTCTTCTCCTTCTTCTCTGTCGATTTGCACAAAGCCGTTGATCTGCAAGCAGACGCGCAGAGAGGAGGAGAGAGCCCGAGGGAAGCCCACGCAAACATTCTCAACGGAAACTGCAGCTGGCAAATTACTGTAAACCAAGTCGGCTAACAGAAAGAGTCTGTCTGCTTGTATATTTAAGCGAACGCACATGTGCGGCGAGAATACTTTTCCACATTCAGCAGACTTGCATTTCTTAATACTGGAACGAGATTCGTTTTGACCTCAACAAAAGTCAAAAAGTGAAAATGAGCTGCTTGAAAGAACTTTAAATGACCAAACTTCAGCTTTCTCCAGCTTTTAGGATTAGAAGATAAGCTGCAGTGAGAAAATAATTGGTGGTTAAGAGATTTCTTTGAAATTACTCCTGGACAGTGATGGAAAATTCAGAGATGGGAGAAAGTAGTAAATTTTAATACGTTTGCATATGCATTCCCCCAACAAAAGGTACTTTTTTTCAGACTCATCTCATGAGGAAACGTAAAAACTTTAAGTTTTGTCAGTTTAGTGGCTAATTTGCACAAATTCGAGCAGCCATACGAAAAAGTATTCTTTTTAAAAGAGGCTTGGTACCGCACCTTACACATAAATCCAACCATCATTGGTGGAAATCGTACTAAATAGTTCAGATGAGATTTCATATGAATAAGCCACTAAATCAAAGGGCTCTATTTTGAAGATCCGGGCGCAAAGTCCAAAGTGCAGGGCGCAAAAGCATTGAGGTCGCTTCAGAATCCACTTTTGCACCATGGCACAAAATGAATGGAAAATGAATGGTGAGAATGAACCAATCGGAGTCTCATCTCTCATTCCCTTTAAAGGGCCATGAAACCCCCTCGTTTCAGCAGGGGGTTTTCACACCTCTACTTTGGAAAAAGTCAGAAAAGTGGGCGTGTCCAGCTCTGTTTAGGGGGGAGTGTCGGAGGAAGAAAAGAGGTTTGGTGTGGGAGTGTTTATTTGGGTGCGCTGACTTTCAGAGTCAAAACACACACACACACATACACACACAGGGGAGAAAGGGGCCTGTGTTAACATGGACATCTGTAGTCAAATTATTTGCCAAATTATTAAATGGTGGACTTTAACTGCAGTTTGACTCTTTCATTCAGGGAATTCATTCATGCCCCTCGCGACAAACGAGATATTTGATTCGAGGAGCTGCTCTAAGTGTGTATTTTTCATGCAATGTTTGATACCGCACGGCGAATGAGAGAAAAAAAAAACCCTCTGCATTTCCCGGAAACTTAGATGCACTCGGCAGGTAGCGTCAGAAAGCCGCGTGTGTTATTCCGGTCACTAAATGCGGTGAAAATCCTACACAAGGTTAAAGTTTGGTTGTGGTGCTAACATGTTTACACTCGGTGCAATAGTTAACTTAGTTCGATACAAACAAACTGAATAAACAAAGAGCGCTGGTCGCTCACTTACCAAATCTGTAGAGACAGGACAATCACCAGCAACTAGAGCTGCGTCTTTATTAAGAGGAGACTACAAGCGAATCCGGATCTCAGCGTTTGCAGATGAGAACAGCTCTCAGGTAAACAATAATCCTCCTTAGACACGTATTTATTGTTGTCACGCGTCGTGTACACTGTTAATCCACACGTGAGTCTGAGCTCTCACAGAGAGAAAATGAAAACAGAACTTAACTACAGCAAACTATAAAAGCAACACTTCACGCTTGTTTTGCCAACACAACGTGGCGTCTCTGTCGTCTAAACACTGTGACAGTAATGAATATTAATGAAGTTGCACAATAGAGCGCGCTGATTGGTTTGAACCAAGCTTTACTCATGCATTAATGCAACACACTGTAAGACGTAATAAGACACACTCTGGCTCAGACGTCCAGTCTGCATGCTGGAATACACGCTATTATGTCATGGCCGTGACGCAGCTTCAAAAATTCGTTTCAAACCAGAAGTACGAATTTGCTTGAAATAACGCAAAAACAACCAATTTAAACTTTTTAGTGAGATATAGGTGTCCTAATAGTGTTTTTAGCAGTGTGGGACACATATACGACTGTCAACAGCTCAAAAAATGTGTTTTGGTGTTTCGTGACCCTTTAAGAGTCAGTTGTGTCATGCCATGGTGCATTTGCTATTTACATTACGACTTTGTAAGTGGGAAAACTGAATGCTTCACTAGAGAGAAAACAGTTAAACAGAGCATCTACAGTGCAAGAATGAGAGATGAGCCTCCTCATTCTTTACTTTCACTTTCACTCTTGTGGATAGGGAAACATGTTGTACGCACAGACACCCATTAGCCTGTACAGAATTAATTTTGTAACGCAAAGATTTGTTTCAAAGCTATTTCTAAATTCAGTTCTAATTTCCAGCAAATGAATAAATGAACAATAATAACAAAGTGTGTTAAAAAAACTGAGTTATATCCAAATACACCTGCTGTGCCCCATATGATAACAGGTGGACAAATCCAAGCTTGTTTTTAATAAAACAAATATAAATATGCAAATAATAAATAGTACTGCTAATAATAATAACATTATACAAAAGCAAATTGTCATGAATAAACTGAAAAAGCCTCCCGAGATGAAGAAGGCATGAAAGGATGGTTTTTATATTTATGTAGGCTAAAATAATAATTTTTGTAATATTTTAATCCTTTAATTATTTTTCATTTGTAAAGAAATTTGCATATTGCTGTATATCCTGTGGGATTAAACCGTCTATTATAGTTCCTCAAAATAGCAACGCGCCTCAACACACCTTATTTTTTAGACCAGAACACCTATGGGCGCACATATGAGCGCAAATGCATTTGCTATTTAAACAGCGCGACCCAAAACGTCAAAATGACTTTTGCAAGTTGAAAGCAAACAACAATTGTATCGCGCCTTGCGCCAGGTGTATGATAGGGCCCAAAGTTAGCGTTGGCTTTTTTTACAATGTATGTTGTTCACAAAGGAATAATGTATACTCTTATGTAATAATTGCACCCCGGCCACCATCAATAGATATATTTTTCCAAAGAAAAGTGTTACATTACGCGAAGGAGCTGTTAAATTCCTCAGTGGCACCTTGATTTCAAAACAACATAAAAAAACTCGTCAAAAATGCTAATTGATGTGAAGAGCTTGACGTATGTTTGATATCCACTCTTTGATGTAATTCTGTCTACTAAATTAATGACACAAAAAGTATTTTTTAAGAAGTTTAATTAATCTGAAAGCAACGAGTCCAAATTTACATTAGATTTCATAACCCTACAATGTGCGTAAACTACTTCGGTGTCAAAACATCATGAAATTGACACCTGTTTTATACTTTGCGCCAACAAACACATCAAAAATCTTTCTTTTTCATGCCAATGTTAAATGTGAATTTTCATGTCGTTTTGACATCAAGGAAGTCAATTGACATCAAATCACTTAGATTTTTTTTGTTTTTGCAAGGTGCCTGCTGGAGTTTATTCATTCATTTATCTTAGTTTCCGTTTAGTCCCTTTATTAATCAGGGGTTGCCACAGCGGAATGAACCGCCAACTTCTCCAGCACGATTTTACGCAGCGGATGCCCTTCCAGCCGCAACCCATCTCTGGGAAACATCCACACACACTCATTTACACTAATACACTACGGACAATTAAGCCTACCCACTTCAGTTGTACCACATGTTTTGGACTGTGGGGGAAACCGTAGCACCCAAAGGAAACCCACACGAACGCAGGGAGAACATGCAAACTCCACACAGAAACGCCAACTGAGGCTCGAACCAGCGACTTTTTGCTGTCAGGACAGCACTACCTACTTCGCCACTGCGTCGCTCTGCTGGCATTCATTCAAACCAATTTATATCTCTTTTAAAAGTATCACATTCCCCCAAGAAGCCTTGTTTTCTGTCACATCATCTGTCAGATGATGTCGTTACGCTGCTGTGCCGTCAGCCAATCGTTGCATTGCTGATCATGATTTCGAGGATCGATATGTCTGTCCTTCACAACACACTCAGCGATCTCAAATCAGTTCATCCAGACATTTTAATCTGATTTGCGAACCAAATTAGCCAGAGATCAGTTATTAAGATGAACAGATCCAGGATCTGCCAAATCATCTTAGATCATTTAAGCGAGGTAGGAAGAACAGACCCCTGGAGGGTCGGTGCAGATTTTAGCCTCAACTTGCCTCAGCACACCTGGATGTTTCTAAAAAGCCTAGTAAGAGCTTGATTAGCTAGCCTAGGTGTTTCTGATTGGGGTTGGAACTAAACTTTGCAAAACACCAGCCATCAAGGACTGAGATTGGACACCCTTGATATAACCATTTGTTTGCTAGATAGATATTGCCTTTAAATAATCTTTAAAACATAAAGCATTAAATCTACTCCACAATGTCATCAGTCTTCTGTAGCTTTAAATAGTGCAAATCCTTTGTATTTCAATGGGTTCTTACTGGCTGTCAAAGTGGTATCGCTTATTAGAAAAGACAATTTGGACATCTTTACAGCTCATTTCTCAATACCTCTACAGTTATAGCTGTGGTTTGATCACTGCTGTTGTTTTACATTCAGAACGATCTTTGGTACTTTAGTGTTATCTTTAAAATCTTTCAGTTACAACTCGGAAAGCATTTCTACCACATTGAATCGTGTACATAGCAAGGGTTATTTCTGCCACAGCTCATGCAGACTGATCTATGCCACATGTGTTGCTGCAACTCTTTGTTTTTCAATGTGAAGGTGAAGTTGGCCCTTCTCGACAAGTGGACCCCATGGGGCAAGGAGCCTGGAAACAGGCAACAGCAATTTGTGGTCAGAAGGCTAAGTTTACCCAGAGGGTGAAGGAGGAGAAAGACAAGCCTACAGTAATTAGCTGGCCAACAAATTTGTTGGTTGTTAGCCATGTCTGAGGAGATCGTGCTGGGGCTTGTTAGAGTCTTTTTCTGACAACAGTATTACATGGGCTTGTAGGAGCAGTGGTAACAGCTAAGGAAAGTTCCAACTTATGACTAGTCTTATTAAA